ATGTATTTTGATCTTCTGAATAACTTTTACTTAATAAGCTATGTCGATTTACTTAGTAAAATTTCGACTTTACTATATAGTAACTACTGATGATCGTAAAGTAGCTTATTTTTGGACAATAGAGGTTTTTACATTTTTTTTCCAAAAAAGAAGGTAGCTTATTTTAGGTAGTAGCTTATTTTTGAGAATATACAGTATACAGTAACTTGATTTAAGTATAACAGATATCAAAATATAACTTTTAGGGGGAATAGCCTACAATACAATTTTAATAAATAGTATAAGATATACCGTACCGCACTGATTAAAAGACCCGGGGTCTAAAACAAATTACCTAACCAAAAATCTATAAAATACCCAGGTATATTGTATGGCAGAGGGTCTCTATTGCAAACTAAAAAAAATTCAAATGAATATTTATTCCTTAATCATGGTATACATTCTGAGATTTTAAAAAAAGCTGATCACAATTAATGGAATTTCTGTAATTTTTATACGGGTATTTTACATGGGGATATAATAAAATGGGGATCTTTTAATCAGTGCGGTATGGTAATAATATATTGTATTATAGCATAGTATACTATATTATGTAATCAGGCTCAAGCTGGCTCATATTGGCTCTGCTAGCTCAGCTCAAAAGCTATGGCTAAGCTGGCTCATTATGAGCCAATCCCAACCCTACATATACTCTTTCATTATAAACTCTAACCCTAAATTCTAATCTAACTCTAAAAAAAAAGCTAAAAAAAATGGTCTAAAAATTTTTAAAATTTTATACTAAAATAATTCAAATTTCTAGCATTATCCGATTCCTAGCATCATTTCCACAATAAATTTGCATATTATTTTTTGCGATTTTCATATTAAAAAAACCTATTGAAAAAATTTATCACTTGTTTTACTTTTTGGATAAAATAGATTTGAAGACAAAATTATTTTAAAAGAAAGCCAAGAAGCCCTACTGTATATAGTTGCAGGTTTTATTTGCGCATTTAATTTAGGTTTAGAAGAACCTAAAGTTAATTGAATGGTATGTATCACATGACTCACATGACCATCATTCTGTATTATTATTGGTTGGATCTGATAATCGGGATAGTGCAGCCGTAGCATAAAATAACCAATCGATGACAAGTATTAACTAGATCCTTTTTGATCTTGAAGTTATTAGTCAGCATTTCATACAATATATACAATATCGATATGATCAGTAAATTATCAGCTGCGGCTGTGGCTGCACCATCGATAAGTAATAGCAATAATGTATCATACATGCGAAATAAACAACAAACAGTAGTAACAATGAACGAACAATAGTAACAATGAACGAACAATAGTAACAATGAATGAACAATAGTAACAATGAATGAACAATGAATCATTACGTAACAATGAGCAATGAACTATTAACAATAAGCAATTCGATGGTATGTAGGGTATATATAAAGTTAGAGAAAAAGAAATATTTCTCACACATGTGTATATTCTCATTCTTGTTAGATTATTGTTATGAACATTTAAAAATATAAGTGACACTTGTAATGATATGAACAATAAAATATTACACAACAATGAACAATGAAATATTAACAATAAACTAATAGATAGTAATAATGCGAATGTAGGGTATATGTAAAGTCAGAGAAAAAAATTTTTTACATACATATGTTCTTTTTGGCTAATAAATTTATACCTGTTGATTATGAACTTTTTTAAATATAAGCAACATTTGTAATAATAATTTTAACAACACTCTGGATACACTGTTTCTAGTAACTTGCACTATATTATATCACTTTTTTTCAAGCTATTGGGTCTTTAATTACGAGTTGTATTTTGATGAACTATACTTTTTAAAATATTATAGATGACAAATCGTTTGATTATGAAGAATGCCTTGAGTATTATGACCCCGATATTGACTATAAGATATTGGACAACAATAAAAGCTACCTTGAAAATATATCTAAAATTCTATTTACTCCAAAGACCACAACAGATAAAAGTGTGATGACTGATCATGAGTATACTAGTAAAGACTTCATATTTGATAAAAAGGCACTAAATCATACAAAAAATTTTGTAATATCAACTACTGAACATTTAGAACAAGACGAAAGTGATGTTAACTGGTTAATACCAGATAATTTGCAATCAGAAGTTGAGTCTATGTAGACTCTGACAACAGATAATATTAATATCATCAATTATAAAATAGAGGGTGATTCAGGTACTAACGCTAATGATCAAGAAAAGATGAACAATGTATTATTGTTAATTATTAGGAGGGATATTTTTAACGCTATTTGAATAATATATATAGACCAATTAAACAGCTCATGAGTATTTGGGAACTAGACTTTCAGACATTAGATGTAGCAATTAAGGTGAAAACAAACAATGCATTAAATAACTTAGGGGTTCATTCTCACTATTTCTATTTTGATCAAAATAAACTTTATTTGTCTGGCTCAAAACATCAAGTTTTGATTGATAAAAGTTGGATCCATAAGCAAAAATGCATGTTTAGTAATAACGATAAAATTTTTTTAGTCAAGAAGAGTATTGTCATAATGAGAACCAGTACTCAGTATACTTGGTACGTGGGGTCGACTTGGAACTCTAAAATAATAGACAATTGGTCGCATTAGTAAGAATCAAAAAAAAAAA